GAAGGAGAGGGCGGGACACCTTCCTAAGGAAACCTCGGTGATAGAGGGCCTAGCTTTGGTCTTGGGGCGAACAGCAGACGTTGTTTTTGTTGTCAGGAACAATTACTTTGGAGGAATTTTTCCTAATTGAAACTGAGTCGTAGGCACCGACTTGTCAGTGGGTTTTACTGTGTTGTTGTTGTTGTTGTTGTTGTTGCCTCCCCCAATTTTCGCTAGCAAACCGTCTTCTAAGCATGGCCATGGATTGTTGCCAACTAGAAAATAAGAGTTATTTTGTATCTGTATTATGAGTTAGCTAAAACTACCCACATTGATAGCTTTAAAACGCTTTTCTTCTTGACCCACAAGTTGATCACTAAAGTCAAAACAAGTCCTCAGCTAATGTTCGTGTGAGTTTTATCATTTTAGGTTAAATGTTGTTCCTTTAGGCGACGTGTCGGTGTGTGTTTCTGGCGTCATTTCATGTTTGAAAGCTCCATAGCTGTGTTTTAATTTGCTTAGTTCAAAGGCAAGGTAACAACAAAACTTGTAAAAGTCGCAAAGGTCAAAATTAGCGATTCACGTCTTATATGCGAATCTTGTATTTGATTTTCTTTGAATGAAGACAATAACTAGCACTGGTGTTTCCTTATAATATCCAAGAAAATAGTCATTTGATATTTTATTTATGCAATTATAACTAATTTATTATTATTAATTTTATTGTTGTTGTTATTCAAAATCTATCCCAAGACAATAGCTTCAAGATTTCTGGTGTGTTTCATTGTGAACAGGACCAAAATGTGATGCAGATGTTTACCTCCTGACTAAAGGACAACACTTTGAATCAAATTTACTGGATCTGATTACATCAGAGTGTAAAGTCCTTTTTTTTCCCCCCAAAATGTGTTTCTAAATGGTTATATACAYACATCCCAGTGTGCAAGTTAGAAATCTGAACTTGTTAATTATGAAAACCTGTTTGTCTTGATAGCTGTTTTTAGGATACTCAAAAATAAACCATTCTCAGCTKCTCTGACATTAAATTTTTCTGCAAGTTCTTTTCTCAGAGAAATCAAATCATGTTTGTTGCGTAGTTAGTAAAGGTTTTTGTTTGGCTTTAACAGATGAATAATGGTATCAACTTGTGCAACAATAATGAAAGCATTCAACAGATAAAAAAAAAACCTATTTATAGCACTGGCATGAGCTAACATTATGCACTGATAAAATATTTATGCAGTATATTCATGGAGCCATTGTTAGTTTTATCTGCAAACAGGGTGTGGGACTACAGTTTGTAAAACAGCAAAGAATCCACTGACTGAACACCTAAAATAAGCTCCTTGTAAATAAAAAGAAATCCTAAACATGTTTTGTTTTTAAAAACTTTCTATGGGGGATACCTGAGTATTGACATTTTTTGGAAGGTGGGTAACCTTTTCTAATCTTCAAATTTATTTTTAAAATAAAAGAATCAATGGAAAAATTTGCCCTTCTRTAGAACTTCATCTACTGCGTGTTTTAGTTTGCAAACCTTTTAAACACTTAAGTATTGAGCGTCATTTAATTGATTTTCTTAGTTCATATTTTTCATGCCTAGCTAGATGACTAGTTTTTTTTTACTGTTTTGGGGGATGGCTCATTGTTTGTGGGAATGAGAGGATRTATGAAAACCATATTGTTGTTTTTCACTTACAGTCCCAGTTATGGTGCAGCACACCTTGATGGAGAGCTCCTCCAGCAGCAAAGCTACACGTCCACTCACCAGCCTTCCACCTACACGACAACACACATCTCAGCAGCTGCACGTGAGTTACCAAATTTAGAAATTTGTTTTTAAGAGGGCAGTTTAGCTGACAAGCTGACCATAGTCGCATTTTTACTGATGATGTTCTTGGCCGTTGTCTTTTTTGTTTCTGTTATCATCAGGAACACTTGAGTCAAGCAGCAGTACTCCTGTAACCTCAATCATGAGCTTCCTGTCAGCCATGGAGTCGAGAAATCTTCAGGCTGGTCCTGTCAGTGCCTCATTGCTTCCTCCTTTTAGACCTCAGTCATGGCCTACTGGTAAAACAGAAAAAAATATGACATTCATTATATTTTAGTTTAGTTCAACAATCTTTGTTAATACCATTTGGTCTGTCCATGCAGGAACCAACTCCTCCACCACAGAGCTGTATTTGACTGGTGCCCTGCCTTCCACAGCCACTTTCCCCTCTCCTGCTTCTCTGTCATCCTTTCAGCACACTGGTGCCTACCCTTCCAGGAGTTAYGCCTCTTCTAACTCTTCCCTGACTTTCTCAGACCCCACCTTCACCACGTCCACCAAYGGCCTGTTCTCTCACCATGACTCGCTGCTACATCTCAAACCAAGCCAGGCTGTGCTTCCCGTTGCCCTGGCCTTCAGTCATCTCTCTGGGCCGTCTGTGGGCTCAGCTCTCCCTGTCCAGTCTTCCACTTACCGCTCAGCCCAGGAGTCTGCCCCCCACCTCCTACAACCTCAATATAACCTTCTTCCCTCTACTCTACCTGCCTCTCATGGTGCCCCACAGCCCTATGGGACTACCATTTTTTCGAACTCTATTGAAAGAGCTCTGCAGCGTGAATGTAGTGTGATAAAGCACCACCAGAGGCCTTCAAGTAGCCAAATAGCCTCAGAGGAGTTGCCCAGTTCGGAGCACTCCTTGCAGGGGTACTATGGCACTGGCAGTGACACAGATGTGTCCTACCAGGAGGAACCATCCCAAAGCACCCCAGTACYTTGCAGTTCCCCCTCTAGAGCAGACTCCACCCAAGTAGTCAATGGTTCTTTGCAATCTAAAACTGATTGTGCAACACAGTCTGATTCTTCTGCTATGTTGCTAAAAGGCAAAGACTGTTCTTCTAGTCTAGCTTCACACCCTGCTGAGAATGAAGAGAGTCACACTCAGAACCTAAGAACAAGGTCTCCTGAGCATTATTCTTCCTCAGCTCAGAAGCACAACTCTGTAATTGCCAGTCAGCAGTCAGTTCAGCTGTCTAACCTGATGTCCAACACTTTGTCTCAAACCTATATCACACCACACACACAGTCCCAGACCTGCCATTCCCCTGCAGAAAAACTTCCTCCCCTTTACTCTACACTGCCTTCTCTCTCAAGCCACTCTGACAATGTGGCTCCCGTTAGCCAAGCCTTTGTTTACTCATCCACTCCGGGGCTGAGCCAGGAGCAGGGAGTCCAGTATGGAGCCGAGGTCCACAGCTTGTGTCAAGAGACTTTCTCCGAGAGCTACACTACTTCCCACTCTCAAGGTGCTTCAAATTTAACTTTTACATCTCAGTCACAAGAGCAAGATTCTGTAACATTATCTCAAAGCTACAACACAGGACAACAGTCCCTCAATTCTCTGTATTCATCTGATTGTGTACAGAGCCTTCCATCAAACTCTACTGTAGACTATAGCCACATGCAGGACTCATTGGCTGGTAAAACACACCACAGTCTGTCCCATCAGCAGACACAGATCCAGAATGTTTTGTCTGTATCATTACCTACCTTCTCCTCACCTGCTCAGTCTTTACAAAATGCCATTAGGTCCTCCGTACAGGACACAAAGCCAATATAYGCCAAACAGAAACTTGAAGAGCTCCATTTGCAGGACATTGAGGCKCTTAGACAAGTGTCAATGATTACTGTTGCTGATAATAGCGTTGCTTCTCAAAACAACATCATCTATGTTGTTTCAAAAATGGACGATCACAAACCACAAAGTGTTATTCGAAGTAATTCTCGTTCTGATGAACAGTTCATGGGTCAYAGTCATATAGGTTCAGCACAGGTAAAGAATGAACAGATGGGTCCTGTGAGCCAGCAGCAGATTTGTTTGAACAGTGGCAGTGGTCATGAAGTTGATAACACAAAAAGCGCAAACTCTTCTATTGTTTCCTCACATGGACCCCTTTGCTCAGAGCAGCTCAAGCAGCCCGCTGTTCAACTTAGATCTCCTGAGTCAMATCAACAAAACCAACAAACCATCAGCCAGTCCCCGAGCCAAATTCCAGCAGCCCACTCTCAGTTTATCTCACTTCCCAATTCTCAAGTTCTGCTTGAGCCCAACCAGATGATTTTGGTCCAGCAGCCTCTTGTCCACTCCAGTGAGAACACAACAAAGTTGRTATCTTTGCAAGGTATTCAACCAGCCTGTTTGGGTTCAGTTCATGGGCAGTACCTTCAGATAGATCGAGACCTGCTGGGTTCCAGTGTCAATGAAACCCAAACTCAACAGGCCACAATCATGTCTGAGCCGAACTCAGAATGTTCCTCTAAACATCACTACACCCAGGCAGCGGGTCAGCAGCCAATCGACACCAAGAATCAGTTTACTCTTAACTCCATTTGCTTTCCCGACTCCATGCTGCTGGCAGATGACAGAAATATTCTGTCAAATGTCGACGACATCCTGGCTGCAACTGTGGCAGCCTGTGGTGTTGCACCACAAGATTTTGTTAAAGCGGCATCCTCCTCTGAGGCTGAAATGGCAGGGATCACAACTTCTGTTGATTCCAAAGGGCACCTCCAGACTATTGATATCAGACAAGTGTCACCTAGTTTCTCCTCAGGACAACATCCAATAATAAATAACACTAACAGTCACACCATCAGCATGACACTAAACCAGGTCCAGATGGCTACAGACTGTCAGGGTCCACCTGTTCACCATAACAGTACCACTAATTTTGGCACAAATGGAAATGGAAGGAACCCTGAGAATGACTACCACTCAGTAAGACAGGCCTTTGACCCTTCGGGTGTCCAAAACCGAATCGAAGGGAGTACGAAATGTACTGAAACACAAGACGTCCCAATGAAATGTCCTGTTGCTGAGGGCTCTCCAAAAAAGAAGGTACGTTCTAAATCCTCGACAAAACCAGGAGCTTCCGAGGATGATGTAGGAGTGGCGAGATCAGCCAAGCGCAGCGCGCAACCAAAGCGTCAAAACTCCAGGGGCAGTGACGTCAGCTCACCATCTGCTCCACAGAGCACTTCTGACAGTTGTCCACAACAAGAGAGAATCAGGCAGAAGATCCGTGAAGTGGAAGAGAAACAACCAGAGGTCAAAACTGGCTTCATTGGTTCCTTCCTAGATTTTATCAAATCTGGCCCCAAACAGCAAAACTCTCAAAGTCCTGCAAGAGCGGTGAATCGCCCAAGAAAACCCTCCACCTCGTCAAAGCAGTGCCCTTTGCCTGCTTTGCCCGCTTTGCCTCCCAAAGTGCAGACTCTGCCCGCACCTTTGCTTCCACAGGAGAGTCTAGGAGCGAGCTCTCAGCAGAAACGTCTGGATGAAGAGCTGCAGAAGAACCTGGAGACTCTGCCRTCATTCAGCTCAGACGAAGAGGAGAACACGGGGAAGAACCAGGCTCTGAGGAACAGCATCAGCTCAGCTCTCTCAGCTCTGGATGAAAACTCTGATCGGAGAACAAGGACAGGTAATGGCGTAAGGTGGTATGTTAGGATATGTAACTTTAAAATAAATCAACTAGAATTTAAACAAACTAATAATTGAAATTAGGGGTGCACCGATAGCAGTTTTCTTGCCGATCTCTAATCTTTGATTTGACCCCCCTGCCGATTCCGTTTTTTGGCTGATACTGATTTTTGAAAAAATTGACACTGACAGATGTTATAAAGTCACAATAAAACTTCAATGTTCCAATGATATTTTACTGAAATACTTTGAACAATACCCTTGAAACAATACATACTTGTTTCAACTGGATATTAGGTAGTACTCACAGCAGAGCAAAAGAAGGGATAGTGGCTGATTTTCAGACCTTTGTGGAGGGAGGTAGAAAAGCCGATCYTTTCTGCCAATCTTCCCCACCKATCTTTTCTAAGGATCGGCCGATCTCCCAAAAGTGAGGAAATCGGYGCCGATAAATCGGCCRGTCAATTTATCGGTGCACCCCTAATTGAAATGTCGACAAGAAGCAAAAAATACTCTTAAAAATTACAGTTTTGGACGATAAAATAACTATGTTCCCAAATTTCCTCAGAAAACCAAATYCACAGTTTGATGATTAAGCCGGACCGACCTCCCACCTCGGCTCCCACTGTCGTGCTGGTCTGCTTGCCGCAGGTATCGACGCCTGCACCGACAGTAACCCCAGTCTCAGGCGTGACAACGTTTGTGACCAAAGAGGAGGTTAAAGTGGCCCCATCAGGCAAGGTGGCCGTGCAGTTGATGAGCGTGGCCATGGAGGGCCTGACTGACGAGGAGCTGTCTGACAGCGGAGGAGAAGGAATGTACCGAGAGAGAGACGAGTTTGTCGTCAGAAAGGAGGACATTGAAGACTTGAAGGTATTTGTTTAAAGCGTAATTTGTTCAATCTGATTGCTGCAGAACATCCYGCTGTCACCCCCCCAAACTATATGCATATTTAATGTTACTTTTTTCACATAAGCACAGATTTATTTAAAGACCAAGCAAAATCCGTACGAGATCATGCTCCACCATTTAAACAGTGTGTTGTGTAATGTAGGGGTTAACCTACTCTTCTTATAACCACTGTATAAGGAAAATCACAAGTTCTTCTGTTTAAGGAAAAACACCTCTGTGTAAATATGAGAGAAACCACACAATAAGTGAACATACTCAGGAATTTAAGTTGATCTAAAATAAATGATTTTTATTTACAGAATCAAATTACTAATGTACAGCTTACTGTGGACAATCAAATTTTGTTGTGAGTTTAAAAAATCAACAAAAACAGGTACGCGTCCGCACTAATTAATGTCGATAATGACARCTAACAGAATCAGCAGAATTTCAGGTTTAAGATTTAATAAACCAGATGTTTGCAGGTACATTAAACTTAGATGGCAAKGTTTAAGTTTAAGAGATCGAAGGAAAGGAGGAATGTTAGCCCTAACGTTTTAACTTATCAATATGTGAGAAAACCAGAACAAACACTTGGGTCTCAGCCAACGCGTCAGCCCGAACTTTGGTCCACTAGTCAAAACATTCAGCTTTTACCTGGAGGTGTCTTGACCGTCAGGTTAAGCTTTAGGAAGAATTCACCCAGGTTAGTAATTAACTCTGGTCAGGTCCGTTACTGCCGGTAAAAACTTGCAAAGTTTGGATTTTCAGCGTCTCCGAAGATCTGCTTTAGTCTGAAAGAGAGAGTCAGATCCTATTCAGCCTTCTCTTCAAAATAAAAGACTTCTCATCAAAAGTTTTAAAATAAAAATTAATGGAGCTTCAAAGCTGGTTGTTTGGTCAGGATTGAAGGTATCGTGAGCCGAGGCAAAAGATTTGCTCATTAACACAAGAGTCAAATCTGGTTGCCAAATGCTGATTTTTCCTGAGGAGGAGAAACGGCTCCTCTTCGTTAAACGAAGATGGTGTCTCTTTTCCGTCTGTCTGTCAAGAGCTTTGTCCCTGGGTTAGTTTCTAAAAGAAAAAAGAACACTAGGGATGTGGCCTCGACTGTTGGGTTAGTTAACAGGGAGAATTGGAAGTTTAGTCTGGGCACTGCTGCCATAAGCCTAATAACATCTACACCCTCACAGAAAAACACATTCGAACCTTAACAGGATTAATACTGAATGACAATGAACTAGGTTTTAATGAAATAGAAGTGAATTATTTAAACTAAAATAAATCTTAAGATATTTGTCTTTGATTCAAGCACAAATACCCATATATACTGTGTGTGTATACACCCTCACAGAAAAACACATTCGAACCTTAACAGGATTAATACTGAATGACAATGAACTAGGTTTTAATGTAATAGAAGTGAATTATTTAAACTAAAATAAATCTTAAGATATTTGTCTATGATTCAAGCACAAATACCTATAATATACTGTATATATATATATA